ATTGTTCTTGCGAACGCTGGTAAACCAGAACAAGCCGAGCGCTACTTTCTCAACGTCCTCAAGGAACTACCCGCCGATGTTAAATAAGCACATGGCTACATTCTTATCTTCCTCTCCATAACTGTCCTTGTAAATATCTAGTGCTTTTTGATATGAATTGAGAGCCCGCTCGAATTCATTTTTTCTCAGATAGCCGACTCCACAGCAGGTAAGTGTATTTGCTACACTTGGATCGTTCGCAGCAAGAATTTCCAATTTTTTTGCCAATGCTTTTTCAAAATATTCAAGACTTTCCTCGTATTTGCCACGATCATCTAATACATTTCCCAATTGATGATAACAGTGCGTTACTAGTGGATCATCAGCGGGTAGTTCCTTGAGGACGTTGAGAAAGTAGCGCTCGGCTTGTTCTGGTTTACCAGCGTTCGCAAGAACAATGCCGTAGGTTATTGGAATACATGCCTGTGGTATATCCTTGCGCATATGCTCGAGAAGAGTCTTCAAGTCGTGATCATCATTACTGCAGAGCACTAACTGCACTGCGTTGACACCATCGTTTTCCAAATGAATACCAATGATGCGGAAAATACTACCAGCCATGAACAAGATTTCGGATTCACTCGGAAAAGCACTATTCTTCGTGATATCGGCAAATGGCTTTGCGTTTGGTAAATGTGGACTAGTGTCTATCTCGAAAAGTACAGGTACTAGATTTCCTTCCACGTGATCATCGGGTAGTAGAAATGAGGCATAACTTCGATCAAGTGTTGTCGAAAAAAAAGAACTCATCGATACGAGCTCGCCAATCTTAAAGCTTTCAAGTTCTACTTTCGATATTAGCTGTCCTCGATAGACTCTAGCGTTGGATATTACAGTGTCAGCTTGCAATTTAATCAGTTGATCGCGGATGTCTTGAATGACAAAACGCATTAGATAAAGTACGTCGAGGTTTTGCGTACGAAATGCTTTGTTCAGCATACGATAGAGAAACGAGTCTCTAGTGTACCAGTTGAGCGCTTGATCGGCTGAATAGTTAGATTCAAACTCATCAAGCATACGGAGATTGCTGACGCTTCTCTCGTATTCTTTGCGACAATAGGCAATCACCGAGCTTTTCTCGCTTCTTGAAGGACTCGTGGTGAGAAGGGAATCGAGCAAGAGTTCACAATGAAGAAATTCACCGTTCATTCCGATAGATGAGTTGTCCTGTTGAGAGTCGTTGTTTATTTGAAAGGTATTGAGTGCTATTGGTTCCAATACATGGATTTTCCTTGTCTCGTCACATTTGATCTTACTAATAAGTTGATCAATATCGAGTGATGTCCAGACGCAACGCAGCTAAATCTTTCGTAAATCAAAAACTATTGAAATGAAAAAACAACTCACCTTTTTCAGTTTAGATATGCATGTCTCATCTTCTGTATTGTCGGTACATCGGAGGTAAATAGCTGTTATCGGCTTCAATTCATGCATCTTCATAATGAACTCTCTGTCTATCGGACCGCTGATAATAAGAGCGATTCGACGATATTCAGTATGCTCAATATATTCTTCGCATTTCTCATTGGTAGTGAATGTTCGAATAGAATTTAGATTGGATCGATGTCGTTCGCGAGTATCAGTGTTTTTAACCGTTAGGTCCAGCCATAGGATCTCTAGCATAACAGAATTAAATAAGATATTTAAGCGAGTTGGTTCCATAGTCATCTTTGTATATCAGTACTTTCTTACGAATTTTATCCTCACAGAAAAGATTTTCGGAGAAACTGGCTGAGTGTGGGTGGGATCTGGGTGTGTGACTGTGGGTCTGTGTATGTGGGTGAGGGTTGGGTGTGTGGTTGTGGCTTTGGCTCTGAATGGATGTGTGTATTGATATACACTTCTCCAACTACACCCGCACTCTTAGACCGATCGATCCAATCACTTTAATGGAAACTTCAATAGACTGCTCACAGCTTTACCTCGAAATCATACTTCGCAGTGAGCCAAATTTCAGCAACCCAAAAAGACATCAAACAAATCTTGGGCGTATATAATTCCAATTCGCAAATGCTTTGATTTTTAGATTTCTAAACCATGCCGATAGCTTTTCAATTGTTTACGTTAGTGCTCTATATTTAATGTGAATACAACTATTTCCTTACCATGTTCCAGTGAATCTGTGTCATCATTCAGTTTTTCAGGCTCGATAGTCGTGATTATATCGAATAATGGTGTCCTGCTCATGATCTACAGTAGTGAAAATGCCAAATCAATGACGACAAATGTGTTCTGCTTCCTTTTTTTATGCATGTTGCAACATAAATGTCGCCTCAAATGGAGAAAGAAAAAAAACAGTAAAAAAATGGCAAGTCTGACGTAATGAAAGACACATGGTTTTATAAATAGAGCAAAAAAAAGGAAGAATAATAGCCGTGTTGTATTAAGCAGTTCATGCTAGCAAGGAAATGGATCTTTCATGAAGTTCAAATGAACGTTGACAGCAAGGTTATAGGAGAGTCTGCGATCGGCATCATGTCACTATTGTGCCTGATAGTTACTGCTGGCACTCCAAACCTTTATAAATACGAATAAATTGAACCACTGCATCACCAAAATAATCTCGAATCTTTTAAGTGCAATCGTTTAGCATGAAATCAGTGTGAAATATGCTTATTCTGTCGAAATCAGAATTGTAAATGGTCAGAGTCTCCCCTGACTGATGGTGATACCAGTATACGAACATGAGCCATTTATTCTTCTTTCTTCGGATTCTATAGCACAGAACTGTAACGAATTGAGCATGTTCAAACAATTACAAATCGATCAGTATCGAATCGTTTTTGATTTATTAAGAAATGGTTCGATGACTTAATCAAGTATTTCTGTAGCAAGGGTGTGGGTGTGGGTGTGGGTGTGGGTGAAGAGAAGACCGAAATCAACACTCATACCCACACCCACCCACACCCACACCCACACCCACACCCCACACCCACACCCACACCCACACCCCACACCCACACCCACACCCTTTTTGAGTACACAAAAATGAGCTCAAAATTTCGAGGTGAAACATCTATAGTTTAGACCAGTATTAGCTTCTAATATCAAACTAATTTGTGATGAGCATAAACAAATTCACTCAACATGCTATTAGAATCTCATCCTAGGATGGAAAATTGTTAGTGAATATTTAGAGTCGGGATTTTGACAACGATTGAAAATTTATCCGTTAGAAACTTACAGGCTCATATATCTTGATCAATGAAACCATGAAAACCGTCAAAAACAAGGAAAATAGGCAAGTTTTAGTGCCCCCAAAAATTTTTAAAAATTGAAAAAAGACCGGTAAAGGCCGGCTGGTCTGAAAAGTTAGACCAGACCGGACCGGACCGGCAACTGGCAGATGGGTCGGTCCGGTTCCAAGTATGGTAGGGTTGTTCACGCTGCATCTTATGGCATGTTTTGTTTTTAAAATGACCGCACCAGATGATAAAAAAATTAATATAAAGACCGGTTATTCATTATGGGACACCGGTTATGGTGTGGCCCACATCGTTGTGAAAGGGCAAAAAAGAAAATCGGAAATTAGTTTTTAACGATTGAACATTGTTTGAGCTCGCTTCACTCGTCCTTGTGCTAAAAAGCTTTTTAATTTTGTGAACAAATAATATACGAAAATTACAATGCTGAAAACCTGAGAACTGCTATGACTGATATAGCTACAATATTTATGAATTTACTGATTCAGGAATCGTTGTCCGTTCCAAGGAAGAAACAGTGGACTTCCAGACTTCAAAAGACCTCAAGAGACTTCAAAACCGAAGTCTGAACTGTTTCTCCCTTTGGTCCGTGGAAACAAGGTTCAATAGTTACAAACGCATTTTTGAGTGTTTTTTGGTTGACTATGTTTATGGAAGTTATTAATTAGACCTAGGGATGTATCAGTGTGAGTATTACTGAAAAACTGACATCAGTATTTCAGTAATACTCACACTGATACATCCCTAATTATATCTATAAAACTTTTCAAATTCTCCAATTTCGATAACTCATATTGATCTTATGGTTAATAAGTTAAACTCCTGAATTTTGTTTTAGACGAACTTTCTGTAACGTCTCCATCCCATGCAGTGTATGCATGATATTTTCATCTTCTTACTATTTCTTCTCATCTTATGGATTGTCCTTATATTCTTGTCCTTACTTAGTACATCGTATTATACTTTGTCCCTATCATACAGCACATATCTTCTGTGCCTGTTGTCCTTTTCTTTCCTATTCTCTGCTTCTCTTTTATGGACGAGTATGTAAGCGTATGCTTTGTATGTAAACGATGTGATTCTT